GAATCATTTGCTTTCACCAAGTGTTCTTGCAAAAAGATAGTCCCTCATCCCCAAGTTGGTCTTTGATGAGATCAAGTTTCAGCTACAACCCTCCTCTAGACATGAAAGTCAGAGGACAGTTACTGGAGACCAGGAGTTGAGGAAAGGGAAGGGCTAAATTTCCTTTACCACTATCCTTCCTGTCTTTGTGTTATTCCACTTTAGCCTCTGGAATCAACAGAGAAAACTGCTGAGTAAATCCTGATGATGAACTGGAGAAGGGCCATCAGGTGGTTGAGTTGTGGCAGGAAGGAAGGAAGGAGGAAGTGGAGGGAAGAGCAGCATAGAGAATGCACAAAAAGAAAGAGAAGCCAGGATGTGAGTTGGAAAAAAAAACACCCTGTGGTGTCCTAATCTCTGATGCCTCTTTCTCTTTTGCAGTGCCTGACAGAGGAAAGTCCTGTACGTTCCCCTTTGTTGTTTCTTCTCAGAATAACAGCGCCCAGCACTGAAACCTGGGAAGCTTGTACTAACCTGTTTTCCCAACAGCTTCAGGAAAGTGTATTCCATTCCCCTAGTCCCAGTTGCTCTAGCCCTGCCTATATCTCTCTGTTCCAGCTCTCCCTTGTTTACAAATTTAATTTCTGACCTCAAAAGAGAAGGAGGACATAACTTACAAGGAAAGGGCAGGAACTGAGACAATTTGTTCAGGTTCCACATTCTATCTTTGAAGGAGACACAGTGAATCTGAGATGCTTGGGGAAAAAGGATGAGAAATTAAATGAAATGACTTATTACAAGGATGGAATAGAACTTACTACTTTTAGAAGAAATTCAAGCTACATCATATTAAATGCAACCTCCAGCTACAATGGCATGTACAGCTGCACTGCTTCTGGAGATGATATATCTTCACGGAAACGATATTCAAGTCATGTAAGGATCATGGTTCAAGGTAATGTCTACACTCCAGGTGGATCAGGGTTGGATGCAAGCAAAGCAGTCATGAGGTGAAGAAGACAGAGTGTCTTGGAAAGCCATGGATGGATACTCTGATAAATCATTTCTATCAGGGTGGTGGGTGGTAATTCCATTGACACGGTTCTATAAGATCTGTTTGCTAAGAACACAGGTGATTGTCTCTGAGTTATGAGCCTCACTGCCCTGATGATTATGTTTATATTCTCTCTAGATCTCTTTCTCCCTCCTGAAATGAAAGCCAGACCCTCCAAGCCTATAGAAGGGAGCCCAGTGACCCTGAAATGTGAAACCAGGCTCCTGTCACAAGCGTCACACACCCAGCTTCAATTCTGCTTCTACAGAGAAGACCAGGTCCTCGGAACAGGCTTTAGCATGTCCTCTGAGCTCCAGATCCCTACCATATGGACTGAACACTCAGGGTCTTATAGGTGTGAGGCACAGCTAGTGATTTCCAACATCAGGAAATGGAGTCAGAGAGTTCAAATCCACGTGCAGAGTGAGTTTTGGTGAAAAGAAACACTAAAGCTGGGGAGAAGAGGGTATAATGGGGGCATTACTTGGACCTTAATTCTTTTTTTTCTGTAAGCTTCCTCTGTTAACATGGAAATGGGGGGATGATGCTATCCTGAACTTCTAATAGTGCAGTAGGAGAATGGTTTCAAGAGTCTCCAAGAATATCGAGACTTCAGGATGCCTTCCACATCCCTCTAAATTTGTCCTTACTATTGTGAAATAATGAAATATTGCCTGGGTACCCAGTTATGTTGTTGAAGCTGTGGAAGATGCAAGTAACATCTTAGGAATAATCCTTCTAGGCAAGAAATGGATAGTCAGATAGGTGAATACCTAGTACCAACTCTAACTCAATTTGGAAAAGAGAGACCCATATGAATTGGAACAGTCAGAAAAGATAGTACTAAAGCAGGAGGGTGTGAGCTAGGTTTGAAAAGATGGGTAGTGGTGGTGGTGGTGTTTATGTGCCATGGAGTTGGTTCTGACTCATAGGGTTTCTGAGACTGTAAATCTTTATGGAAGCAGAAAGCTTCATCTTTCTCCTGAGGAAGGACTAGTAGTTTTGAACTACTGACTTTGAGGTTAACAGCCCAACTTGTAACCCCTACACTACCAGAGCTCCTGAAAAGATGGGAGAGAAGGTAATTTATTTTCTTATGTGACTTCACTTCAAATAGGGCTGTTGTTTCCCAGTGTCCTTCACATTCTCCAACATAAGACTCACTGAAAAGCTTTCCTTGGCCCACTCTAATTCCCTGGAGGGATCAGGGATCCTGAAGTGAGGACAATGATAAGATGAGGAAGCTCATACTTTAGTATGGCTGGGAGGTAAGGAAGGATCTTTCCTCCCCTAGAAACAGATTCAGAATTGACCCCCACCATCTTCAAATCTCACTCTGCTAAGATCTTTGTTTTTTGGTCTTGTTCTAAATTTCTCCCACTCTAATCATTCCCGATATTCCTCAGTCAGTTCCATCATGTTGTCTTGTGTTCACACAGGAATCCCTGTATCTGGAGCACTCATGGAGACCCGTCCCCCAGAGAAACAGGTGGCTGAAGGGGGAAAGCTGGTCCTTGTCTGCTCCGTGACTAAAGGCACAGGAGACACCACATTCTCCTGGTACAAGGAAAGTCTGAAGGGGATAGTGAGAAGGACATCTCAGAAATCCCAGAGAGCAGAGATGCAGATCCCTGCTATGAGTGAGAGTGATGCTGGGGTGTATTTTTGTTCTGCTAACAATGGCTATGGTCCCATCTTTAGTGCAAGAGTAAACATCACTGTGAGAGGTGAGTCTCATCATTCCTCAACTCAGCCAGAGATTCTCAAACTAGGCTCAGGGATCCTATTGTTCCACGAGAACAGTTTAAGGTAGCCAGACACCAGAGCTATGGAAAGTCAACTCCTTTCTGACAAAGACAGAGCTTACAAAATAAATAGCTTGTTTCAGGGCACTATAAGTTTGGTTATGATGGTAAAAATAAGAAAACAGTAAGATGAGAAAGGTGAACAAGAACCCTGTTGTAGTCAGCAGACCAGAGAAAGTCTTCTTATAAATTCATCATTACAGCTCTTGAGTAAATGCTTCCACATTTATGATATTCAATACAATAAATTACTATTCACGTATTCATTCATATCATTGTTGTTATGTGCCATGGAGTCAGGTCCAACTCATAGTTGTTGTTGTTGTTGTTTTAATTTAAGGTTTTTATTGTGGATTGAGTGAAAGTTTACAGGGCGCAACATCAGTTTCACATTCAACCATTCATATAACTTGTTTCATTACATTGATTATAATCCCCTCCATATACCACAGTTAACAGTGTTTCTCTCTATCCTCTTTAGCTTTTTTTTTTTTTTTTTTTGGGTGGGGGGGCCTGTATAGGGTTTTTGAGACTATAAATCTTTGTGGGAGTTGTTGTTGTTGTTAAGTGCCATTGAGTCGCTACCGACTCATAGCAATCCCTCATTTTTTTCCCCACTGAGTGGATGGGTGTTTGAATCATTGACATTTTGGTTCACAGAACAGCACTTGTCCTACTGAGCCACCATTTTAAATACTCAATAGTCACATCTAGCTGGTGTTGTTAGTTGCCGATGAGTTGATACCATGTACAACTCATGGGGGGCTTCAAAAAGATCATGAGATTAAAAGATAATGAAAATTTTGAAGCCCCTTCATATCTGTACCTACCGTGTATTTTGAGTGCCTTCTATCCAAGAGAGCTTTTCTTCCAGTATTATACTGGAAAATATTCTGAGGTGATCTATAGGGTTTTTTGTTTGTTTGTTTGTTTTGGCTTTAAGAAACAGAAATTTATTTTCTCACAGTTTGTTGTGTCATTGCTGTTAAGTGTAGTTGAATCAGTTCTGACTTATAGCAACCCTGTATAGAGTTTCTGAGGAGCAGCTGGTAGGTTTGAACTGCTGACCTTGTTATTAGTATTTCAGTATTTAACCTACAGTGCCACACCAGGACTTCTCACACTTCAGCAAGCTAGAAATCTGAGTTCAGAGAGCCAGCTTTAAGGATAGGACTTCTTTCTCTGTTGGCTCTGGAGGAAGTTCCTTGCCTCTTCAGCTTTTGCTGATCCATAGGCTTTTTACTGGATAATTTTCAGAAGTAAATTCTAGTTTGCCTAGTTTGGATCGCGTTGGTATTTAAAGCAAAATAGCTAATGGCTGCCATATTGGACAATGCCACAGATACAGAACATTCTAGAAATCTGTTGGACAGCACTGCTCTAAGGTTAGATCTAGATTGTGGACACAGTGAGATTTGAGGGGGTAGAGGATGTGTTGATATGCTGGGTGGGGGAGGTGTTGCAGAAGAGATCCTCTCTAACATTCCCTTTGTCTCTGTCAGTTTCAGTGTCTCACTCTGTCCTTACAGTCAGAGTTCCCAGGGCCCAGCCTATAGTGGGGGACGTGGTGGAGCTTCACTGTGAGGCCCAGAGAGGCTCTCCCCCCATTCTATACTTGTTCTACCTTGAGGATGTCATTCTGGGGAACATCTCAGCACCCTCTGGAGGAAGTTCATCTTTCAACATCTCCCTGACCTCAGAGCACTCTGGGAACTACTCCTGCGAAGCCAGAAATGACCTGGGGACAGATCACAGTGACAGAGTGTCATTAAATGTTATAGGTGGGTTGGTGGGAGGCTATGGGCCATGGGTGTTAGCATATGAGAGAGGGTATTTAGTTATAGTTGATTTAAAATTGGGGTTTTCCAATGGAAATGGAGAATGGAGATTGTGGAAGCTCACTAGACTGAAAAGAGTAGATTATACAAATCAGACAAATTACTAAACACCCACTTAACCATTTCAAACTGAGGCATAACTCACTAGCTCTCTCCACATATACATACCTCACTCTTCTATGCCTGCATAATATCTGCAGAATTCTAGTTCAATTCCCTTCCCTCAGAAGCTCACCCCTAGGCCTCTCTCCTTAGAGCCTCCAGTGGACAAGAGCCTCCTTCTGGCTGTAGGAGTGGCAGGGGCACTGCTCGGTTTCCTGGCTGGGACTGTTCTGCTCTTTTACTTATGGCTCCAGAGGAAGTCAGGTTTGTAACTGCTGCTTTCCCACTTTGTTACTCTGTGATTGATTATCACTAAACATGCTGTTTTGGGGAGACAGATAGTGTACAGGCTTTCTGGAAGCTGGCACCCAATAGTTGGAACTGTCAATTACTTCACTCTTCCAAGAAGGTACTTTACATAGACAGAACCAAGTGATACTAAAAGCATTTGGCCTACGTTTTCATATTTAAATGTTTCTCTTCAATAGAACCCTTCATAAAAATAGCTATCAGTTACAAATCTGATGGATAATCTCCATGAAAGATGCCTAAGGAAGATAAATATATCCAATACCCAAGCCCAGCATCTTTAAGTCAATTCCAATTCATGGAGACCCTGTATGTTACAGAGTCGAACTTTTTACTGAACTATTTATGGAAGCTGATCATCAAGTCTTTCTTCTGGGTAGGTTTAAATTGCCAACCTTTAGATTAATAGTCAGCATAAACTACTTGTGCCACTGAAGGACCTAGAAACACAATAGAGTGCTAGGTTTTATAAGAAATATTCTGAGTATTCTAAGTATTTTTTTTCTATAGTGCTTAGCTCTTTGTTGATCTGTGGAACACAGAGTGCTCACCTACATTTTTTACCTCTGTAATTCAGTAGGAAGCTGTTATTCCACTTTTAATGCATGCTGTTATCTGGTGGGGGGTTGTAGAACTTTGTGATCTAAAGCAATGGGCCTAATCCCATTAGAAGCCCCTCAAAACATTTTAATCCCACTTATTATATCAAAATACATATAACCTCAACAATTTTTTTCATTTTATTCAAAATGTCTTCCATTACTGAAAATGCATGGTTTCAATAAAAAATTCAAACTGAAAAAGGGTTAGTATATACATTAATGTATTTTAAGGGGCCATCCTTAAGATCCACACAGGGGCCTTAATGTATATATTAAATACAATATAACACAAATACACTGTATAAGTAAAATATAAAAAGCAATGTTAGGTGCTGTTGAGTCAGTGCTGACCTATAGGGACCCTCTGCACAATAGAATGAAACAGAAAACAGAAAGCAACAAGTCCTATCTAATATAGGTACTCTGGTGATATAGTGGGACAAAAGTTGGGCTGCTAATTGCAAAGTCAGAAGTTCAAATCTGCCATCTGCTGCTTTGTGGAAGAAAGATGAGGCTTTCTGTTCCTGTAAAGATTTACAGCCTTAGAAACCCTGTATAGGGTGACTTTATTGACTACACAAAGGCTTTTGATTGTGTGGATCATGACACACTATGGACAACATTGCAAAGTATGAGGATTCTGGAACACTTAGTTGTACTCATGAGGAATCTGTACATGGACCAAGAGGCAGTTCTTCAAACAAAACAAAGGACCACTGAATGATTTAAAATCAAGAAAGGTATGGGATTGTAATCATTACAATGAAACAAAATATGATATGATGAATATAAAGATAATGTTCTTGCATATAAACTATCACATAATTCACAATAAAAAATTAACAAAAAAAGTTCATGAAAAAATGGGGAAAAAAATCAAGAAAGGTGTGCGACAGGATTGCATTCTTTCACCATACTTATTCAACCTGTATGCAGAGCAAATAACCTGAGAAGCTGTCTTAAATGAAGAAAAACATGGCATCAGGATTGGAGGAAGACTCATTAACAACCTGCGAGGTGCAGATGATACAACCTTGTTGTCTGAAAGTGAAGAGGACTTAAAATACTTACTGATAAAGATCAAAGACCATAGCCTTTGGTATGGATTGCATCTCAATGTCAAGATAACAGAAATTCTCACCACTGGACCAATAAACAACATTCTTATCAATGGAGAAAAGATTGAAGTTGTCAAGGGCTTCATTCTTCTTGGATCAACTATCAACACTTATGGAAGTAGCAGTCAAGAAATCAAACTAAATATTGTATTAGGCAAATCCACTGCACAAGACCTTTTTAAAGTGTTGAAGGGCAAAGATAGATGTCAGCTTGAGGACTAAGGTGTGTCTGACCCAAGTCATGGTATTTTCAATATAACTTCATATGCATGCGAAATCTGGACAGTGAATAAGGAAGACTGTAGAAGAATTGATGCTTTAGAGTTATGGTGATGGAGGAGAATATTGAAAGTACCATGGCTGCCAAAAGAACCAACAGATCTGTGTTGGAAGAAGCCAGAGTGCGCCTTGAAGTCCAAGATGGCCAAACCATCTCTCATACTTTGGACATTTTATCAGGAGGGACCAGTCGCTGGAGAAAAATATCATGTTTGGTAAGGTGGAGGGTCAGAGGAAAAGAGGAATTTGCCCAGCAAGATGGATTGGCAAAGTGGCAGCATCAATGGGCTCAAGCATGGCAACAATTGTAAGGTTGGCCCAGGACTGGGCAGTGTTTTGTTCTGCTGTTCATAGGGTTGCTATGAGTCAGCAGTAACTTGAAGGAGGCTAACAACAACAACAACAAATGAGTTGGAATTGACTCTAAAGCACATAACCACAACTATCACCATTATATAATATAGAGCATAATTCTACTCTGGAATTACCATGAGTCAGAATCTAATCAATGACAATTGATTTTTTTTTAATTATATAATGAGCATATAACATATACATGCAATACACTAAATATATTATGCATAATATACAAATATATATTATAATAGAATTTAATATAGTAGAAAGGACCCCTGGTGGCACAGAAGACTAAACATTGAGCTGCTAACCAAAAG